TGCTTTGTCAAATTATCTACTTCGAAGAATTTTTTTTTATTGTTCTTGTGATAGTAGATTTTTTTTATATTATATATTTTTGTTATTATAATTATATTTTTTATTATTAAATATTATATATATATATATATTTATATTATAATTTTTATATTTTATTTATATATATTATATATATATATTATTATATTAAATATAATAAAATTAATTCTCTTATTCAGGCCTGTAAATCTATTCTCTATATTGTTGTTTGATTATTTTTAATTCTTATTTCTATAGTTGATTCTGAATCTATTAAACGTATTCTTACAGGCTGTAAAAAATTATTTTATTTTATTAGTGCTTTGCTCATTTTTTTATATAATTCATAAATATTAATGTTTTTTAAAATTTATAACTATTATAATTTTCATTGTGCATTATCTTTAATTTTTTGACGTTTATGTACATTAACCAAGCATTTTATTCCCTTGAAAATTACTAATGTATTTGAACCATTATTTTTACTTTGCAAATAAATTTATTATATCCTTTTACTTCATTTATGCTTATGTATAATTTTAATTTTTTAATTTTTTTAATGTACTCTATTTATTATGGGTGAGTTTCATAACAACCATAAACTTTTTTTTTGATTATGTAATAGTAGTTATCATTTCATTAGGAACAGCTCATTCTATTTCCCTTTTAATTATTATTGTTATGTCGAACTCCATTTTGACAAATAATTGTAACCCACTATAAGCTAATTTACACCCACCTTGATCCCTGCCAAGTCCAAATAGACATGGAAAACAACTATTTCTACCTTTTGAAATTGTTTCTCCAGTGCCGTTTTTATAAGTATATGCCCGGGATGAACAGGAGTTGTGTTTATTTATTATATTATCGTTAGGTGATTATCTAGTTTATGTATTTACATTTTATCTTTATTAATCTTTTATCTTTCACACGTCCATTTCCATCGTAGCATTTTTTACTTCTAACTCCTCTTATTTTATCGTTGTTTATATTCTGCTCAGTTGCTTTCGTCATATTTCGTTCTATTCATTCCACTTTTTCGTTGTTTATTGATCTTTACGCGTGACTGTTATTATTGTGCCTATGTGATTATGTTTTTTTATATTCTTCCTTATTTTTATCTTTGCTTGATTCGAATTTATTTATTCTTTCGACGTCTTTTTATTGTTCAATTATGTAATTGTTATTATTATTCTATACAGTGTTATGTTGAGATAATATAAAAGATTGTTTCATATGATTTTAGAGTATATGAATCAGTTCCTACTTGGACAAACTTAATTTAGCAAATATACCTTAGTGCATGTTTCCAATCAATAGGTATTGCAGTAAATTAAACGTAAATGGTAAATCAAGTTCATTAAAAAATAAGGTATCCTTGTCGAAAGAACTTTTCCTTTTAACAAGAGGTAAATTACCTGAATCTAAACATGTTTCTTTTGTAAAGCTGAATTCGATAATGATATAGTGTGCATATTAACTTCGGTCTTTGACATATGTCATTTTCCCTCTCTTTAAATGATTTTCTCACACTGTCAAACCAAACTTTATTGCAAAAATCACTCATACAGCATTAGTGAGAAAGATTTTCATTGTTAGGAAAACACTTTGAGTAGATACACTGGATCTTTCATCACCATGGAGCTTGAAACCAAACTGCCATCTTGCAACCAGCGTCTAGATTGTGGATACAACCCAATGCAAACAGCAGAGGCATAAGATCTCTCCTTGAAAATCCCCGTTAATCTGAATATTTCTTTTTTCTGTGTAAGACTGTCTGGATAGTCATCCAAAGCCATGCTTAAATTACGTGTTTTTATTCTACTATTATTGAAGATGATTTTTATTCAGTAGCAAATTCCCGACCAACCATAGGAAACATTTAATATTCTTTTCTGTTCAACTTGCCATAGATTTCTTCTCTGTCTTATCCATTTTTGTAGCTAGGATGACATTTTGTTTACTATGGATGCTCGTTTACATTTGTAAATACCTGCAAGAAGGCAGTAATTGAGCAAATATTTTGTTCACTTATTGAGTACTGTCTTTGCATTTATATATATATATAATAAAATAATGCTCTTTCAGGCCTGTAAGATCTTTCTGCTATTGGTGGTTGATTTTTTACCTATCAAAGTTGATTTTGGACATACTTATCTTACAGGCCTGAAAGAGCATTATTTTATTTTATTTAGCTTTGCAATCTTTATATATCATAAATATTAATTTTTTTTTAAATTTAAACTTAAATTTTCTGATGCATATCTTGCATATTTTTGACTGTTTACTTAACAAGCATTGTATTTCTGAAAATTACTAATTATTTTGCATATTTTACTTGAAAATTTTTATCGTTACTCATATGTATTGTAATAAATTTAATTTTTAATTTTGTAATGGACTCTATTTATTATGTGGTTCATAACAACAAAACTTTTTTTTTGAATTATGAGTATCATTTCATAGGAAACTGCCATTTATTTCAGTATTATGTGTTGTCGAATCCATCTTGAAAATATGTAACACTGATAAGCTAATTTACATCACTTGATCTGCAAGTCACAATTAGGTAATGGAAACTAACTAATTCTACTCTTTGAAATTTGTTTCAGTGCTGTAGTAAAAGTAAAATGCAGGATGAATGTGTTTTTATTATTATTATTATTATTATTATTATTATTATTATTATTATTATTATTATCATTATCATTATCATTATTATTATTATTATTATTCAAAACAGTGTTATGTTGAGATAATATAAGAGTTTTTCATAGGCATATTTTAGAGTATATGAATCCAGTTCCTACTTGTGGCACAAACAGCTTTAGCAAATATACTTAGTGGCATGTTTTCAAATCAAAATAGGTATTGCAGTAAATTAAAGCGTAAATGGTAAATCCAAGTGTCATTAAAAAAAAATGTATCTTGTCAAATGAACTTATTCCTTTTACAAGAAGGTAAATTACTGAATCTAGAAATGTTTTTTTTGTAAAGCTGAATTCTGAATAATGAATCATAGTGTGCATATTAACTTCAATGCTCTTTGACATAGTCATTTTCCCTCTCTTTAAATGGATTTTCTCACACATGTCAAAACCAAACTTTATTGCAAAAATCACTCATGACAGCATTAGGGAGAGAAGATTTTCATTGTTAGAAAACACTTTGAGGTAGATACACTGGTCTTTCATCACCATGGAGCTTGAAACCAAAGCCATCTTGCAACAGCTGTCTAGATTGTGGGATCAACCTAATGCAAAACAGCAGAGGGCATAGCATCTCTCCTTGGAAAATCCCCCTGTTAATCTGAATATTTCTTGTTTCTGCTGTGTCAAAGACCTTCTGGTAGTCAATCCAAGCCATGCTTAAATTACGTGTTTTTATTCTTACATTATTGAAGATGATTTTATTCAGTAGCAAGATTTCCGTACAACCATAGGAAACTTTACAATATCCTTTCTGTTCAACTTGCCATAGATGGTTCTTCTCTAGGGGTCTGTGCATTTTGTTAGCTATGGATGCTGTTGTAATTTTGTAAATTACTGGCAGAAGAGTAATTGGCATATTGTTCTTCACCTTTGGGTACTGTCTTTGGCTTGGGGCAGCAAATTCATGAAGTCACATGTGACGAGCTATTCTAGGAGTTCCTTTGAGTTTTCTAAAATTTTATTAACAGCCTTTGCTAGATGATAGTGTAAAGCTGTTAATTCCAGTTTCCCGTATTCTTAAACACTTAGAAGAAGTCCTCTTCCGAGAATTCGTAGTAGTATCGTCTATATGACTGATGACATGACTCGTATTTCTGAGCCTCTAATTTTACTTTCTTGCACATAGGAAAGAAACTTTTGCTTTTGCATATTAAAGCACCACATCACCTCCTTAATTCATATCATGTTAATCCCTGATGATGTCTTGAAGCTTCTGCCAACTCTGGTTGCCTGGGACCAACATTTGTGGGATGGCCAAATGTCGACGTGGTGACAATAGCTCGGTTTCTGAGCAGGTATGGGTCATGGGTAAAACAAGGTACGTTAAGGTTCATTACATTTCTTGTTCTATCCATTTTGCTCATTGGTTGTAAGGGGCATTTCACAGGAAGCAGGTTCAAGTTCACAGATCACACTTAACCCATCAGTTATTTCCTGTCACCCATTAATGCGACCCACTGTGGCCTCGGGGCATCCCCCTACAAAGCCCGGCAAGGGTCTGTACGGTTCTCAGTTGGCAGCTTCCTTCACTGGCTAATGCAAGGTTCGGACAATCAGACCAAGGGCTCCGACCTTTAGTCAGTGGTCTGGTGTGCCAACTCAGTTTCTCTCCTGTACCCTCTATGGACAGATACCAGGAGGCCCAAAGGCTAATGGTGCTTCTCTCTCTACTTCCTTACCGCTGTGGATACAGCTGCTCCTAAGAGTTATCATGTAAGGCCTTACTGACACTTGGGGCTGTTCACAGGGAATTCTGAATTCTGCACACATTGCAGCAGGCAAATTTGAATACCTAATCATATATTTTGTTTTAGATGTAAATCTCTTAACAATATTGTAAAATAATTTTCCTTCTGTTTCCTCCAAATATAGTAAATGTTATCATAGATAA